TGGAATAGGTGGGGTTTCAGGACACTCAAAATGTAGCCTCCCATCCAGCACTTAGCAAAAAATTCAATGAAATTAAAGAGGTTTTCGGGATAGATTGGCGCGAGGTCAAGTGGGAGGATCTCCGCAAGCCTCTGTATTCCGGACTCGCGGCCAGGCTGAAACTGTCTAACGTCGAGGATCCAATTCCTTTATCGAGCGATATAGAGGTACAGGGGCAGTATTGGAAAGACCATTACAACTCGGAACAAGGAGCAGGAACTGTTGAGAAATTTGTTAAGGATGTAGAGGCTTTACTGGAGTCAGAAAGTAAGCTGATCAAAAGTTTATACTTGTAGCTAGACTTACGTAAGGACTTCTAATATACATAGTTTGCTCATGGAAAACCTTGATACAAGCTTCCATAAAATATAATATTGATGCTGAATGCGTAATCAGGTCTCTTATTCGCTAAGACGCCTGGTTGTTTGACGTCTTAGTTGTCCACTAAGAGACCTGCCACTAAGAAACTCGGTGGTCACGCTATATGGCTAAGTATGCCAAGTAGTCTAAGCTAAGAAGTCCCACCCAGTTGCCACTGAGATAGTAGAGGCAGACAGATAACGCATTGTTCTTTCATTATGATTGTTAGACAACAAGGTAACAGTTGCCGCTTCATGCTGTTGCGACGCTTGTAGCAGCAGCTCGTCGACTTCGCTTTCCGGATCAGGATGAAAAAGCTCTTCCTATAAGCCTAAACTCACTCCCCGCTCACCATTTTATAGATAAGACGTGGAATTCGCCTTCGAGATGAATCCTCTGCGCTGCGTGCGTCGCATTCTATTACGCTCCTCCCCCGAGGGCTTTTCAATCTCGAAGACGCTCGATTTACCTATAATATAGCTACTTAGCCTGAGTTATTAAGTACCAGTTTTTTACAATGTCCTACAAGTGGGAAAATCATTTCTTAAAAATGAAGGGGATATGGGGATGGCTCAAAACATGAAAAAGTTTGGTTGGGCTATGCGTTTACTCGTTAGGAAACGCCCCCTAGAAACGCTCTTCTGGAAGAGCTCCACGATTTCCTGTAGCGACGCGCGGCAAGAAAGAAACGATCGCTTGATATCCAGCGCTTCAACATGTTCCTGTAAGGGTTTTAAAAGATGGTGACACGAAAATCGGGAAATCGCTTATGAGCTACTTCTCGCGTGGAGGATGGAAGGTACGTTTGGGTACATGTGCAGCTAGATATCGGCCCATAGACTATTTCTGGTGTATTTTTAAGGTCTAGAGAGTCATATCTCGCCGAATTTTGAAGCGTTTTCTGTGCGAATCACGTGAGATTTGACTCGTGCCTATAGACGCTCTATATTACATAATTAACACATTCTCATTTAAACAAGAAAACTTGTTTTTCAAGTGAGGGTATAAACTTAAGAAACCCATGTCACTTTACTGAAAACCTTGTGCACATGCAAAAGTGCCGGAAGCATGTTTCCAGCACATTCACAAATGTGCTGGAAGCATGCTTCCTGCACAGTCAAAAAAGTGCAGGAAGAATTTTAAAATGTGTAGGAAGAATTGTGAAAAGTGTATATAGGAAGGATTTCAAGAAGTGCAAGCGCGTGATCCTGGAGCATGCGCAGTTGGACGACGTACGGTCGTAGATTCAAAAAATCCGCGCCGTTCGTACCACTATAGGTTAGCTCCCTCCCGCTCGCCAATAAAATACTAGTAGGCGAATGCACGGCATTTTTGGGGAGCAGGAGCGAGCTTATATCCGCACGAGCCAACCTAGGCTACTTATAACTTGCAGCTTGGAACCACGAAGATTGCAAGCCTCGGTAAGGCACCAAAGAGAGCAGCGAATGCCGCCGAATGGACGATAATTTTTTCCCTGGCTCGGCATCGAACTAGCAGCAAGAGCGTGTAAAACATTTGAAATTATTTCGGATAAAAAGAAGCGCGTAATTCTGACACATGCGCAATAGCACGACGTACGGACGGACGTATATAATAGCGCCGTTTGGATCACTAGGTTAGCTCGCTCCCGCTCGCCAACTAGCAGGCGAATGCATGAATTTTTGGCGAGCGGGAGCGAGCACACAATTACCGAATCTGCATTAACCGTCCTAGCTATTTACAACTTGAACCTTAGAACCACGAAGATTGGAAAGAGGTATAATTATACAGCCTCGGTCAGGTATCGAAGAGCGCAGCGAATGCCAGCGAATAGACGAGAGCTCTTTCGCTGGCTAGATTTCACATCGATAAGACAGCTAGGCAGCGTGTAATAAGCGCGTTCCCTATCACGCAAGCGACGCTTTTACACACGAGCCTCTCTCTGCTCAGGAGTCTCACGGGCACGGTGCTCTCTTTCCCTCTATATATTTTCGACGACGAAGGGCATCTTCTCTGGACTGAGCAAGAGTACGGAGTATGACAGGCAGGCAGCATGTGAAATAAAGAAACGCGTAATCCTGGAGCATGCGCAGTTGGACGACGTACGGTCGTAGAGAAATATAAATAGAAAATCCGCGCCGTTCGTACCACTAGGTTAGCTCGCTTCCGCTCGCTAACATAGAAGAATGTTGAACATTGTTGGGTCGCGGGAGCGACCCAACTTTGGATTTGCCCGCGATTTTCGGGCTGCATAACGTGCCGTCAGCGCACAGCTTTCCTTTCAAGAAGCAAGACAGATCTACCTGTCGCCGTTACATGCGTACTGTACATTGGCAGAACTGTGAGCAGGTGAGCAGAACGGTACTTACCTTACGCTTTCAGCTCGTCAGTCGTGGTCCACCAGGCAGCTGGCATGCAGCAGTATCTGCACGAGCAATCCTAGCGTATTTGCAAGTTGCACCTTGGAACCATGAAGATTGGGAAGAGGTACAGCCTCGGTCAGTCACCGAAGGTTGCAGCGCATGCCGTCGAATGGAGGAGAGTTCTCTGGCTGGCTATATAGATCGATCGGCGCATATCATCGCGAGGCAGCGTGTGTGAAAATGTGTAAAAAATGTTGAAATGATTTCGGATAAAAAGAAGCGCGTAAGAAGCCGCGCATGCGCACTTACACGACGTACGACGGGAGCAAACACACAACGACTGTATCCCTATTTACAACTTGAACCTTAGAACCAAGAAGACTGGAAAGAGGTATATACAGCTTCGGTCAGGTATCGAACAGTGCAGCGAATGCCAGTGAATAGACGAGCGTTCTTTCGCTGGCTAGATTTCGCATCGATATGACAGCTAGGCAGCGTCAGCGTGTAAAGAATAAGCGCGTTGCATATCACGTAAGCGACGCTGATAAAGACGGGCCTCTCCCTGCTCAGGAGTCTCACGGGAACGATGTTCTCTTTACCTCTCTCTTCGACGGGCATCTTCTCTGGACTGATCCATGATTGCGAATACGGAGCTACACACACGCGTATACGCACATGTATACACATGACATTATGACTGGCAGGCAGCATGTGAATATTTTGAAATCCTTTAGGATAAAAAGAAGCGCGTAATCCTGGAGCATGCGCAATTGGACGACGTACGGTCGTTTACTCGTGGTCTCCCGCTAGTAGCTCACGGAGGGTCTGACACGGGCTAGCTATAGCAGTAGATAGTGGGTACACGTCCTTCGTTGTGACTTCTTGTGCCTTCAAGATACACATAGCAAGCGGACCCGGTCGAGGTGAAGCTTGTGCTATAATTAGTCTTGTTCACCTGGTTTTCACGCCATAACTTTAGAACGCATTATTTTTAGGAAAAAAATCGCCGTTTTTGAAACCAATGTAGCAAATCCGTTAGTGTCGCTTTTTTACCATTTTGTTGAGCGTGGTGACAGAAAACATGGTAACAGACGGACAGAAAAACAGACAGACCAAGTACTGTGAAACCTCGCTGCGCATGCGCGCCGTAGGTAAAAAATGAGCCATGTCTTACTTCGACCACTCTGGAAGCACGTTTGATCATTCACTTGCTGATACAAAAATGTCTTGGCTAAAGACCCAGAAATCATCATCTGCGCATGCCTTCTGGCCAAATAGTCGAGTTTTGCTCAGTGTTTTCCGTTGTTTTTGTTCTGTGAGTTATTTTACTGTAAAGCATGCGAATAAACATTGTGAAAAACCAAATCTGGGGTGTATCTATGCACTGAAGGGAGGCAAGATGTGCAGCATCATTATGAGCGACATAGATGTGCTTTGTGTATGTGGAGTGGATACATACTTGCGTCTCCAGTTTACCTATGCAAAGCTTTGTAAATAGTAGGTGGAGAGCACAAGTAAACTTATTTGTTGTGGATTGCAGTTGTATACAAAATGTTGTGGACTATACATGCATAAAACCACTGCCATAGTTTATGGTTCTCTGTGCAACTACATAAAGGCTACAAGCCTGGAAAATCCACTTGCTGAAGCCTGAAAAATTCACTTGCAAGACAATGTATGTGGAGTTGGGGAAATTGGTGTGTATATAGGGGCATACCTCTGGGCTGTGTGATAAGCTTTGTTCTTATGTAGATGTATCTGCAGTTGCACACCTAATCAAAGATGCTGCAGTACCCAACATTAAAAGATAGGGTCTTTAGAAGCCACAAAAAGTATCCACCTACTAGCACCGACCCAAGTGCAGCGTGGGACATACAAGGGCTGGACTGATTCACAAATGGAGCAGGCCCTCCAGGCAGTGGTTGCTAGCGGCGCATCTATACGGAGGGCGGCGTTAGATTATCATGTGCCCAAGTCGTCTCTTGGTGACCGCGTTAGCGGCCGAACGGTGCCAGGAACTAAGAGTGGCCCACCACCATACCTGAATGCAATGGAAGAGGGTGAACTAGTTCAATTTCTCTCAAGGTGCGCATCCATAGGGTACGGAAAGTCACGTAAAGAAGTGTTGTCGTTGGTGCAGAGCGTTTTGGACAGTAAGGGGGTACAGAAGACTGTGACTAATGGTTGGTGGGAGAGTTTTTGTCGACGTCACCCCAATCTGTCCCTCAGGAGTGCCGCTCCATTGTCTCTGGTAAGAGCCCAGGCTTCAGACCCAGAAATGGTTAATCGATACTTCGATCTGCTAGAGCGTACGCTAGAGGAAAATGAGTTGACAGACCATCCTGGGCAGATTTTCAACATGGACGAGAGTGGCATGCCACTTGACCCGAAGGCGCCAAAGGTTGTGGCAGAACGAGGTAGTTCAGTTACTACGGTTGGGTCAGGGAACAAGTCCCAAGTAACAATAGTAGGGTGCTGTAGTGCTACCGGCCTATGCATGCCTCCAATGGTCATCTGGGACCGTAAGACACTTGCACCAGAACTAACCATTGGTGAGGTCCCAGGCACAATATATGGACTTTCGGGCAATGGGTGGATGGACATGGAGCTTTTCCACATGTGGTTCTGTAACCATTTTTTGAGGTACGCTCCTTCAGTTCGACCCCTTCTCTTACTGATGGACGGGCACTCCTCACACTACTGCCCTGACACCATTCGTCTTGCAGCACGTGAAAGGGTTATCCTTTTCACATTGCCTCCGAACACCACCCACATGTTGCAGCCTCTGGATAGGGGGTGTTTCGGACCACTCAAAATGGCATGGAGGGAGGAATGTCACCAGTACATGAGTGAGCATCCAGGAAGGGTTGTTACAAAATTTCAATTCTCAACACTTTTCAGCAGAGCCTGGAGCAGAAGTATGACGATGGCAAATGTCACCGCTGGCTTCAGAGTTACCGGCATTTATCCGCTAAATCGGAATGTGCTTTCTCTGGACACTTCTGTTGCAAAGCTTAGCCAGAAACAGGTCTCTTCCTACCGATGCATAGCCCCATGTGCCAGTCAAAAAAGCGAGTTGTCTTTGATTTTACCGATGAAGAGATAAGTCTCTTTGAAAGGCGGTTTGAGAATGGCTATGACCTGACTGGCGACAAGCGTTACAACCTGTGGCTGTCTCGATACCACCCCGAGTCAAGTCTGCAGCAATTGCCATACAATAGCACTGCAGTTAGCAGCTTCCTTAGTTACCCCTCACCACCAGCTAGGGCTGAAACACTGAAGCCAAAGTCTAGTGGAAGAGTGCTAACCAGCGCTGAAAACTTAGCTCTGGTGAAAGAAAAAGAGAGGCAGAAGGAAGAGAAGCAAAGAAAGAAGGAGGAGAGGGAAAGAAAAAAGGAAGGAGAGAGAAGAGCTAAATTTAGAGACACCATGAAAGGCTCGCTGAGTAAGAAAGGCTTCGTTGACAGTTGTTTTAATAGCTTAGTGTTATAGCCCTTCTAGTCACTGGTGCAAATATTAAATTACGTGTATTACACTTGCAGGACAGAAGAAGTCTGGAGTATGTAGAAACAGTCGTAAGCTGGCAGGTACGTACAAAAAGCAGATGATTTGGTGTGGGGGGTGTATATATACCCACTGTGTATTTTTAGTACCATGAGCCATTTGCGCTGAAACACACTGCAACATGCACTGATGTGTTTCCAGGATTGAGGCGTTGCAGACAAAGTACTACCTGTGACAGAGACCTTCCATCTACCACATATATCAACACTTGACTCAGGTACTACATAGCATAGAGAAACATCTGTCAGAGTGCCAAATGTTAACCTCTAAATTATTTTCCTGCAGATATTGAAGACAGTGATGGTGACTGGAGGTGTCTGTCAAGGCTACATGTCCCAGACCAAGGTTATTAATATATTTTACATTGTAACCAATGTTCAGGACATCCAGGTTTAGTGGATACTCTAGACGTATTGACGCATGTATTACACATCTATCTATCCCCAACACTAGGAACTAGACTGCAGTCAGATGCTGCTCTGTCAGGCAGCGAATCAGGACAGAAACGTTCAGGACAACGACTGAAATGTTCAGGACATCCAGGTTTAGTGGATACTCTAGATGTATTGACACATGTGTTACACATCTATCTATCCCCAACACTAGGAACTAGACTGCAGTCAGCTGCTGCTCTGTCAGACAGCGAATCAGGACAGAAACGTTCAGGACAACGACAGAAGCGTTCAGGACGTCCAGGTTTAGTGGATACTCTAGACGTATTGACACACGATTTACACATCTATCTATCCCCAACACTAGGAACTAGACTGCAGTCAGCTGCTGCTCTGTCAGACAGCGAATCAGGACAGAAACGTTCAGGACAAGGACAAAAATGTTCAGGCTCAGCTTATGGTATAAGAGGTATAAGTACAATCATTTTGCACCTTGGATTAGTTTACCCTACTCTCCTTCAGGGTTGCTTTTTGAAAACATGCCAGCATCCTACAGCGTATAAGTGGGTGGAATGTGAAACCTGCAACTCCTGGTTCCACTGTATTTGCGTGTCTGTGAAGCCTAGCCAGGCGTCACAACCTACTTTCCACTTCAAGTGTTCATTTTGCAACTAATGTGTTTTCTTTGCAACTAATAAAGAAGTTTTTGTGGCGCATGCGCGTATGGCGCGTATGGCGCTCTATCTTTCACCTTGAGAGATTATCCAGACTTGTGAAAGTTATGTGTGAATATTTTTGTTTGTGCCATCCCTAACGGGCAGTGCTAAATGAACTTTGAACTTTGAACTTAACTGCCCACAGTCCGAAAATAGAGGGCGTGACCCCCGCGCTTGGCTCGATCGTGAGCTGCTTCTGCGGAATTTCGACGAAACATAGATATGGCGTGTCTATAGAGGAAGGGTAGCTTTACATGTGCACTAGCTTTGGAATCTCCTCCGTCCTCTCTCAAAGTGTTGGTGGCGAGCGTCCGGAAATTGGTAACTTTTCCCGATCTCTGGGGTTATCGGACGTTCACTTCGAGCGTTCATAAAATCGTTTGTGTGTAAGGCAGGACCGAGATTTCTCGGATACCTAGCCCACGTGTACCTGTTTATATAATTGTTATTATCAGTTTATGTCTAGCTTATTTCATAGTCTTACAAACGCGTCCGAATATTGATGGCGGTCTATAATCGATCGCTGACTCTAATGCTGCGCAGTCTTCTTTCCGACATTCGAGCCTTCAGCAGCACAAGCGAAGCTTTCGTCCGCTACAGATTCGAGCGTCTCTCTTCTTTCCCCGAGGACAGTGAATTGCCTAAGAAATGCGACAATGTCGATTTCAGTGCAGCTGGTGCAGAGTCTGTGGTTCAGTCGTATAGACATAGGCCGGTTTTGCGGGTTAGCCTAGCATGCACGCCGTTTTTCCTGCCACACAAAAAACGCGATCGCGGAAGCGAAAGTGTTGCTAACAACACTTGGTGGCGGGAAGATCCTCACGAGCCAAGCCCCACGAAGAATGCATAATCAGCCGATGCAAAACTTGGACTATCTGTTCGAAACTCTAGCACGCTAGAGTGAGCATTTGTACTAATCGTTCGTAGGATGGAGCACTTTCCCCGATGCCGACAGGCCCACAGCGCCAAAGCGCAAAGCGCAGAGTGCGTGGTATGCGCATCCGCGGGAAATGTTTTTTCACAGAACAGATAAAACTACAAAGGTGGGGCAATGAATAGAAGGCCGTGAAATGTTTACTTTTGCGCATGCGTTGTGCTTATCTACGCTAGGCCATTGGCGCAGAGGGTTTGCACCTCAGAGCTTTTTAGGTTTTAATACCTTACCTGTCGAGGTTTGCAATCAGTAATTTGTCCGTCTCTCACATAACTCATTGTCCATTTAGTCGGAGGTTTTGTCCGACTTCGCCACTAAACCCGGCCAGCGTGTATAAATTGGGCCAAGTACAGATAAATCGCTAACTGCTTCATTTTTCATTTTTTTACATGAAATAGGTTATAACAATGGACTGTCTGTTAGCATTAGCTCTAGCATTTCATTTGTTGCAGCCAGCAGTGCCAACACCCCCTGTGCCGATGCAGACGTATGGATCTCCTGTCGTCGCATTCTGTAGCCTATCAACCAGCTCATGGAAGGTATCCTCGAATTCATCAAAATCGAAAAAGTTAAACAAATGGAAGAAGTCTGGATCTGCGTTACTAATGCATTCAAGCTGTTGTTGGTATGCGTTTGCGATTCCGATTGCATACGTTGTGACGCCGTAACGGTCGTGGAGGCACGCAATCTCATCGCAGACGTTCAGATTTGGATCGTTGGATCTTCCGTCAGTGATGAAAACAACGTCGATGCAGTCCGAGGCAACAGGTACACCACAAATTTCGGTAAGCATGAAGTCGCAGACGCACAGCGCGGCTCCGGCTGTGTGGGTCCAGCGAGTCCCAGAACGACTGTACCCGTAGTTGATGCTGCTGATGGCGTCCCCGGCGTTTACTCGTCCTCCGCACGTGTTGTCGAAGCAATCGAAGCAGAACTCGACAAAGTACTCGTGGTCGAACGTCATCACTGCGATTTTGATCGGGTGGCAGAAAAAAAGAACCAGTTCGCTGAGGACGGCGGTCGCTCTATCGAATTCGCTTTTTCCGACGCTCCCAGACGTGTCCAGAACGAAGAGAATGTACTGGGTGCTATTTGGTCCGCAACGAGACTGGCGCCTGTAGCGGTGTCCATGCTCCGTCATGTTGAACTGCGTTGGCTTGAAGGGGAGTGGCTCGGGTTCGGCTGTTGAGCGACGCTGCCTATTGATAGGTCGCTTGAGTTCCTCTCGAACAGACCGCTTACCTAAAACAAAAAACATGAATATCATATATTATAGCTGTAGCTAGTAGATATATGTACCATGGTCAACGGTAACATGTTGGCAAGTTTTGCGCGTGTCGTCGCATGAAGTTGGTCGCAGTGGTCGGTAAAAGGCGTTTGGTGGTGGTCTGAAAGGCACGGGCTGTGGCGCCGGAGCTGCACCAGGATCAATCATCTGTTCAGTACTGCCCAGTCCGAGAGCAATGATTATCTGATCCACCAAGTCAGGCTCACCTGTAAAAATAAGAGAAATACGGATGATAAGAGAATGAAAAGAGCAACGTGTACTACAGACATAAAAAAATATTCACATATGGTCCTTGTCTCCACTCTGGGGTCGCATGTGCCGAAAATAACGGATTGTGTTCTCTCCTCCGTTACGACAGATCCGCTGCGGCACTGGGAGGTGGGCACTGGCTGAGAACTGATCCTTTCCCATTCGCCCCATTCGCTGTAGGAGCACTGGCAGTGGGTGAAGCGGTGTGCAAACGCAGGCAAAAGTCGCAGTTGACTATTGCAAGGCAGTTGGCACGAGACCACTGCGATCAGAGAGAAGGCGATTGCTGCGAGAAGATGCATGTCAAACTATAGGACTGTTTCCTTCAGTGCTACTAGCTACACATCTGTTTCCCATCAACTTTTATACATTCTCAGCGGGATCGCCATTTTGTGCCACAGCCCTGGCCGTGGTTATCTCGTCCGGCCAGACGACGGCCCACTCCGCAACCACTGCTCATTAAAAACTCTACTATGGAAAAGGGCTTCGATAGAGATATCCTGCACTCAAAGGCTGTGTGGGTGGCCATGAGCGACGCTACTAGAAGTCTATGTCTGAAAGTTGAGAACCTTTTTGTGTTATCTAGATAAAGAGAGTGTTGGCACAACGGCAGCTAAATAGATAGTAGGCTAGTAGCGGTGTGGGAGACGGCAGGAACTTGACTAACCCGCTAAAAAGGGGTGTAGTATGGATATCTAACCGTCGGCGCGCAGGCGCAGCGATTTTTACAGTCGGTTAGCTACCTCGGTTTCTACTACAACGCGCGATAAACGGATTCAAGGGCTACTCCAGCTAGATTAAAAGGTTCCAGAAGATTGTGCGTGGGTGTATGTTTCAGATATTTTTTTCAATAGCACAGCTAAAACGCTCGTGATTTATAGTGAATTTAGGTATATTTCTCGGTTTTTTCCTACCTTGTTTTCCAAACTCATTAGCATATTCATATTCCTCCTCCATACATTCTCTATGGGAGAGAAAACTCGTGCGCGACTCACCCAGGAGCGAACGGTCCGTCCCATTATGCGCAGTGGCTTTCTTTGCCTGCTTCGGTACGCGGGAAGCGCTATAGAAAAAAACGGGCGTGACCGGGTGGCAAAGGTCAACGTGAAAACAAAACTTGGCCACGCCTATTTTCGGGATGGCTCTAATATTATAATACGCCTGCGCGTGCCGCAGGAGGCAGAAAGAACGCATTGCGCATAATGGAGACGGACCGTTCGCTCCTGGGTGAGTCGCGCATGGGTTTTCTCTCCCATGACATGTGCTATCCTTTGACCTAAACGATGGACCTGATGTAACCCGTGCACTCAAAGATCTGAACCAAAAAGCTAATTGTTCTCTCTGTACTTTCTATTTTGCTGATAGTTATGTCAAATGTTTTCTTGTTAAGTTATATTGTCTCGCCCTTTATGGTTGTTGCCTTTGGCATTTAGGGTCAAAGAATTTATACTCTCTTCAAACTCATGTTGATCACGTGAGATTTAGAGCGTCTACCAACGCTAGCTATAGATGTTGTTTTGAGAGCGAAGATCCTGTGCTATTTCCAAACACAATGGAATGGACGTGGAAGTTTATCTAGTGCTCTACCACGCATGACTGCTTTTCATTGATTGGCCAAGAGATTCACGAGTTTTGTACGTGTCTACACGGTCTTAGCTACATTGCTGTACGCAGGAAATTGCACCAGCTCCTTTATTTTGGAGCACATTTAAAATCGGGCAACGCTTAGCTCTGGTTATACTATTGGAGGCGCTCTATCTCCTTTATCACCTTGAGGTTGCTCATGGGTTGTCCGGAACTATTCCTGTGCACGCTCGCTTGCATCTTGATGTGCAATGCCCAAGTGGATGATACTGTCACTGCGGGAGCCAGCGGCTCTGACGTCGTCCATGCTGTTGTCTGACGTATAGAAGATGGACGTGTAGAAGGTTCGAAAATCTTCCCCAACGACAATCAGCTTCTTCGCCGTATCGCCTACGTGGAGTCGAAAGATGGTGCAGATCAAGGAACGTACCGTAGCGGATATCACGGAGGGATATGGCAGGTGGACGAGGTGGGGTTTCAGGACACTCAAGATGTAGCCTCCCATCCAGAACTTAGCAAAAAATTCGATGAAATTAGGGTGGTTTTCGGGATAGATTGGCGCGAGGTCAAGTGGGAGGACCTTCGCAAGCCTCTGTATTCCGGACTCGCGGCCAGGCTGAAATTATACAACGTAAGGGATCCAATTCCTTTATCGAGCGATATTGAGGCGCAGGGGCAGTATTGGAAAGACCATTACAACTCGGAACAAGGAGCAGGAACTGTTGAGAAATTTGTTAAGGATGTAGAGGCTTTACTGGAGTCAGAAAGTAAGCTGATCAAAGGTTTATACTAGCTAGAGTTACGTAAGGATTTACTAGTATACACAGTTTGCTCATGGAAAACCTTGATACAAGCTTCCAGAAAATATAATGTTATTTTGATGCTGAATGCGTAAAATCAGGTGTCTTATTCGCTAAGACGCCTTGTTTTTAGACGTCTTAGTTGTCCACTAAGAGACCTGTCACTAAGACACTCGGTGGTCAAGCAATAATTATGGCTAAGTATGCCAAGTAGTCTAAGCTAAGAAGTCCCACCCAGTTGCCACTGAGATAGTAGAGGCAGACAGATAACGCATTGTTCTTTCATTATGTTACACAACAAGGTAACAGTTGCCGCTTTATGCTGTTGCGACGCTTGTAGCAGCAGCTCGTCGACTTCGCTTTCCGGAACGGGATGAAAAAGCTCTTCCTATCCAATCCTAAACTCACTCCCCGCTCGCCATTTTCTAAATAAATAAGACGTGGAATTCGCGCGCCTTCGAGATGAATCCTCCGCGCTGCGTGCGTCGCATTCTATTACGCTCCTCCCCCGCGGGCTTTTAAATCTCGAAGACGCTCGATTTACCTATAAGCTACTAAGTCGGAGTTATTACCAGTTTTACAATGTCAAGTGGGAAAATCATTTCTTCAAAATGAAGGGGATATAGGGATGGCTCAGAACATGAAAAAGTAAGACACACAACGCTACATGACGCCATCCCTATGTATTAACCCTCGACGCGCATGCGCAGCGAGGGTTGGTTGTCCGTCTCTGTCTGTCTGTGCGCCTGTTAGCTACCACGTTATCTGCGACTACGCGCAACGAGACAAGAAAACGGCGATACCAACGGGTGTATCGCTACACAGGCTTCATTTTAACTACTGCGTTCAGAAGTTACGGCGTGAAAAGCAGGTGAACAAATTAGCACAGGTTCTACCTCGACCGGGTCAACTTGCTCTGTGTACCTTGGAGGCACAAGAAGTCACACAAAATGGCGGGTATCGACTCCCGCATGCTATCTACTACTGTAGCTAGCCCATGTCAGCCTCTCTGGCGGGAAACAACGAGTAAACGCATAGCCCAAACATCAACTATATAGCGGTATCGCGCATGCGAAGCTCGCCGAGGGTTAATTTGCGTATGAATCAGTATGACAAAGATATAGGGATGGTGTCATGAAGTGTTGTGTCTTAGCTGTGTAATGACCCATCGTTTCCTACTTTTTCATGTTTTAATTGAGCTATCCATTATCCCCCTTCATTTTGATTTTTCCCCCATGAAAAGCTATATAATTATGACGAACAAAGGGAAGTATTGAAACGCAAAGAGCAATGCATGCGCCGGTCTCGCGAAGTCTCTCCCCAGCAAGCAAAGACATCGGTTGTCTCGCCTCGGGCTGGCTCTGAGGGGGGCGTTTCCTAACGCGTGCGCAACGTCGTGCGGCGATCGCACGACGTTGCGCACGCGTTAGGAAACGCCCCCTAGAAACGCTCTGCTCCACGATTTCCTGTAGCGACGCGCGGCAAGAAAGAAACGATCGCTTGATTTCCAGCGCTTCAACTTATTCCTGTAAGGGTTAAAGGAGATGGTGACACGAAAATCGGGGAAATCGCGTATGGGCGATTTCTCGCGTGGAGGACTGAAGGTACGTTTGTTGTCACGAAAATAGGGAAATCGCGTATATATGGAGGACTGAAGGTACGTTTGGTACATGTAGCTATAGCTAGATATCGGCCCGTGGACTATTTCTAGTGTATTGTTAAGGACTATAGCGAGTCGAAGCGTTTTCCGTGAGGTTTGACTCGTGCCTATAGACGATCTATAATAATTTTAAACACATTCTCATTTAAATAAGAAAACTTGTTTTTCAAGTGAGGGTATAAACTGAAGAGACACCCATGTCACTTTACTGTAAACCTTCCTGCACATACAAAGTGCCGGAAGCATGTTTCCAGCACATTGTGAATGTGCTGGAAGCATGCTTCCTGCACATTGAGAAAAATGCAGGAAGAATTTGAAATTGTGTAGGAAGAATTGTGAAAAGTGTAGCAAGGATTTCAAGAAGTGCAGGAAGAAAATTCCTGCAAAATCCCGATAATTTTGACATGTGTAGGAAGAATTTAAAGCTTCCTCATAATTACTTCTTGCACATGAGCAAGTTGTGCCGGAAATTTCTTATACATTTTGCTTGAAGTTCCAGCACATTCTGGAAATTTCCGGCACATTCCCCATACATTATGATATGGGTTTCTTATTTAACCCTTTGGGCGCCATAGGTGTCTCCTTAAATAAGCAGAAATTGATGTATAACATGTTAGCGCCTAGTATTATAGCCATATATAAATTCTTATGCACTTATGAAGGCATATATTATATGAATGGGAGAGTGTTTATAATAATAAAGGATACAGATTCTATGAGCAGAAAAAATGTAGTATATACACTTAAAATGGTTTTAGTTTGTTGGCTGCAGACAAACCTAATCAACTCTTACCATTACAGAATGTGCTGTTAACTCCGATATTTTTTTCGTGCTGGATTCATCAGGCAGTGTGGGAAGTGGTAACTTCAACTTCGTTGTAAAGAAGTTTGTCCTTGATTTTGTGAATAATCTAAAAGTTGGACCGAATGACACCCAGGTTGGCGTTATTGTGTTCAGCAACGCAACGAGGGTGGAATTGTTTTTGAACTCATACGCCACAAAAGATGGAGTGCAGACTGCGGTCCAGAACATACAATACCTTGGTGGTTCAACCAACACTGCTGATGGACTTTGCAAGCTGATCCAAGAAGGATACACAGTCAATCACGGAGCAAGACTGTCTTCTGACAGTGTTTCTAGACTTGCAATAGTAATAACAGATGGAATGTCAAATACAGAGAGTAATGGCTGTCTATTTGGAACAAATACTGTGAAAGTTGCTGCTGCTGTACACCGTTTTAAACCATCCATAATTGTGTATGCTGTTGGAGTGACCGATAGCATTGCATATGGGGAGCTTGAAACCATAGCATCCATTCCAGCCTTTGTTTCTACTGCAAGTTCGTTCAGTTTCTTAGAACTACAAAGAATTCAGGAACAGCAAACATATGAACTTTGCAACAGAGGTACGATAATAGGTAACTGGAGATTCTGTAATAATTGGCACGCAAAGGGAGTTTACCTAGTTGTTTCAATATTAATTAGTTTATCATTAATTGGTAATACTATAAAATTCTACATGATATATTGAACCTCTTGCTTCGCTCGCAAAAATGATTTGCATTCCTCTAGCAAATTATAGAAGCTAATTTTCTTCATTCCACAGTCACTGTTCCTATATCAAGTCAAGAAGCAAAAATAATGGGAAATCTTGATGAAGGAGAGAATATTCGTTACGAATTTCCTCTTCCCGAAGATGGAGTGACGTTGAAAATGTGTTCAAAATGGACAGATCAATTGTTATGCTTCAACTGAGATAACCACTCCAAATAGCGCTCTCCACGACTACAAATTGGAGGTTAAAGCACAATCACCTGGAATGGAGGCGTGTGATGATGTCTATATACAGCAGCCAACCGAGTCAAGGGCTCGAGATAGGAGAGCTGTTGTTGAGAAATCGAACACAACACTATTCATGACACTGACAGGAATGGACGAATACAATGAATTTTCTTTCAATACTACACTTGGGGATACAACTACTGGTGAGGAAGTGTTCAATTGTTTCTATATAGTTATCACGCAAGGTGTACTTTTTTTCAGGCGGAGAACACATGCTTACTCCCTGTAAAACCGTGCTTCTGATGGTAGGTTTTGCATTGATGCTTGGAAATCTAATGTGATTCCTACCTTCAGTCAGACAGTAATAAATTAGTTTGTGACAATACTGCCGAATGTGCTGAGTAGCTATAGTTTGAGACATACATTGTATTACTTTTAGTTTTTTAACCACATTCTTCCCCCTATTATTGATGTGTAGCATTCTTATATATACCTGCAAGTAATAATGAGCTGAAACGTGACACTTATGAAAGGGAGAAACTGCAGTCAAGGGATCAGATATCTAGAAAGTTACATACAAGGCTACTTTAATGTATAATGTAAGAGTTAGGGAATTTGAATAGCATGAATTATGGAAAGAGAATGTGTCGTAAGTATCATAATGCTACAATAATTATGTAGACAAGTCTGTTTCCCCACTGCAGAAGTTAGACTAGCTAATTCACTACATATCTTATAGCGGATGAATGTCACAGCGCATGTGACAGGAATTACCCCGCTGTACGGACGGATGTCACAGACGCTGAGACAAGCCAACGCGCAGTATGTAGCTAACCGCGTCTCTTTCAGCAATAGCAGCCAGCCACGCCACAAGGCTACACCCACCTACAACTGGGAAACCCGCAAATCACTGTGCTAGCTCTAAGCAACAAACTCGCGAGAGAAACACGCGAAGTGGCTTCCCAGAAAAACTGCAGCCGACAGTGCAAAATTTTCGCGCATGCGCGCGCCGTCCGCAATGAGATATCATTTGAGAGCGGGATAATTTTCATAATTCACGACATCCCTCCCCTCCCGTGCCACAGAAGCGAGGTTGAGAGTGCAAAACGTGAGCACAAAGCGAAAACTGATGCCTACCGGGCGTATTGTCATGCCTGTGGGATGTCATGAATTATAGAGTCTACGATAGCTAATTGGTTTCGCGATTGGTCGGCACACAAAAACTAAAATTTACAGTTATGCCAATGTAACCTAACATACAACCGTAAAAGGTTTTCTGCTGACTATTGAGTGTAATCGCTGGTATATACATGAGGTAACAAAGTGGCTAGAGTGGTGGAGGTGTAGTTACTTTGCATTGGGAAACAAAATGTGAGCCCTGCATTTGAGTCACAGTAAGTATTGCTTAGTCAGGAAGCGAAACCTTTGACACTAACAACAAGAGCATCACCATACTTTGAATTCCAATCACACCTTTACACACCATGATTATTGCATAACACATGCAAAAACACTAGATAATATTGTCTGCGTCAATGTGCTCCCTCATTCTTATGCTTCATTATCTGTTGATAGATAAGTATTACTAAGTTAAGAGGCTTGTCTCAGGAACAAGGTGGTCTTTATTATAATATAAGTAGCTAACTAATGCCCCTGCTGGACAAGCCACCAGCACCAACCAGATACTTGACAAAACAAGAATTGTCGCAAATTTCTCACTTTTCTACCAGCAAGGGCTTCAACTTCAGTTGGAGTGAGCCATCTGCCGTTCGCAAGAACACATTTAGCCTTGGCTTTCTTTGACGAATACAGTTTGGCAACACGTAACTGCCCAATGATATCACCAAAAATGTTAAAATAGCATCGATGAACTTCAACTGCAACCAATGAATCTTCACAATCGTGGGCTGAATATAAAAATGAGCCAAAGTGTATCCCATTTTGCACAACCCGACATCCACACACAAAAGAGCAGCAACGAAAAAAAACAAAAAACACACTTTGACAACAATAACAGGGCCACAATACGAAACAGTATTCATGCCTTTTAGAACCGAAGGCACCGTGAGGTAATTTTTATCATATAGATAGCAAGCCAGTTTGACTCGACGAGCTTCGGAAATATGGGGACTTATGGCTTTTTGTGACACTTACACATACTCTCAGGAAAATGTTAGCATTCAAAAAATCGTAACACCTACACCTATATCTCTTCATGTCAGCAGCAAAAGGTTGTGATTATGTTGTGATAAACAATGCATGCGCACACACGTATGAACTGCTGGCCAATAAATGCGTTGGAGTCATGCAACTAGTGTCGGTCAGTGTCCATACCTATAGGTAAAACATTATGTTTCAGATACAAAATGGAATATTTTGGCTGGAAATCTAATGATAGTATTTTTAACTTACTTTTCTTCAGAGAATCTGAAAAGCATATCAGCAAACAAGTTGAGGTTTCCAGTAGTTTGAACTTCAAAAACATAAGACTACAAATGACATCCATGACGCTACATAGTTAAACCCTCGGCGCGCATGCGCAGCGAGGGTTACTGTAGTTGGGTTTATCTGTCTGTGTGTCTGTTACTCTCAATCTCACTTCTCGGGTGTTTCTTCGTCTCACAAAGGATACGACCTACTTAACGGGCAATGAAGGTCAGAAATTTCGAACGGTTTTCTCTGAAACTGCTCCATTGCAAAGCTAGAGCGCGAAAAAGCCAATATGCAAATACACAACGGACGGGACGGCTTACCGCGGTCTGATCGATCCGCGTGCTCTGCGTGCACCAGAAGATGCAACGCAGGGCGTGTATCGCCTCTCGCATGCTATCTAGTTAGTGTAGTTAGCCCGCGTCAGACTCCGCGCGAGCTGGGAAGAGACCACGAGTGACAGCTAAAACTAAACCCAGCCCATCATTTAGTGGTACGGCGCCTGCGTTTACTTACGCGTGCGCGTCACAGTGCGCCGAGGGTTTGCACTTCAGTGCTTTTCATTACCCTCGGCGCGCATGCGCAGCGAGGGTACTGTAGTTGGGTCTGTCCGTCCGTCCGTCCGTCCGTCCGTGTGTGTGTTACTCTCAATCTCACTTCTCGAGTGTTTGTTCGTCTCACAAAGGATACGACCTACTTAACGGGCAATGAAGGTCAGAATTTTTGAACGGTTTTCTCTGAAAATGCTTCGTTGCAAAGCTAGAGCGCTTCCGCCATTGTGCGGCTAATGCTAGTCGGCCATTTTTATCGCTGCGGAAAATGCGCATGCGCTTATATTTTCAACAGGCTCGGGTCGGCTTGCTCTGTGTATCTTGAAGGCACGAGAAGTCACAACGAAGGGCGTGTATCGACTCCCGCATGCTATCTACTACTGTAGCTAGCCCGTGTCAGACTCTCTGCGAGCTACTAGCGGGAGACCACGAGTAAACGCATACTAATAGCAATCATTTAGCGGTACCCCGCATCCCCAGTTCGCCGAGGGTTTGCACTTTAGTGCTTTTCATTGGGTCTGTCTGTCTGTGTGTCTGTCTGTGTGTCTGTCTGTGTGTCTGTTGCTCTTAATCTCACTTCTCGAGTGTTCTTTCGTCTCACAAAGGATACCACCTACCGAACGGGCAATGAAGGTCAGAATTTTCGAACGGTTTTCTCTGAAAACGCCCCGTTGCAAAGCTAGAGCGCTTCCACCATTGTACGGCTAATGCTTATCGGCCATTTTTATCGTGCGGAAAATGCGCATGCGCTTATATTTAGCACAGGACCGGGTCTGCTTGCTCTGTGTATTTTGAAGGCACAAGAAGTCACAACGAAGGGCGTGTATCGACTCTCGCATGCTAATCTACTACTGTAGCTAGGCGAGCTATATACTAGCGGGAGACCGCGAGTAAACGCTAATATACCGCGCATGCGCAGTTCGCCGAGGGTTTGCACTTCAGTGCTTTTCATTAAAACAGTAAAGAAAATGGTGGTCTTTTACCACTGTAAAAGTTACCACACACATTGCATACACAAAATGAGCTGTGGAATGAAAGTCAGCGTCAGTCTCAGTTGTATGTGTTTTTTCATTTTGTGATGAACCATGGGCAAATGGTTTGGTAGCTAATTAGCCTAACAATAATGGACAGAGAAAAACATTAACATGTTTGCAAAAGGTTTCGCGATACATCCGTAAAACATCATTAGAAGGTTGTGGTGCACGTCAGCGTGGATAGCAGTTATATCCACAGGACGGCCATAATAGTCTAGAAAAACAATGACATACGCAACAGCCATTCCATTGACGGTAATCACAATGACAAAGAGAACGGCCAGGAAAGCAGTCTGGTCCAGTGTTAACCTCCATTACAGTTGGGAGTGAAGAAATTTCTGCTGCAGACATAGAAAAAACCCTTAATAAGAAGATTCCAGGATAGGAAATAATTGGCGAGCGAAGTGAGCCTACCTAGTGGCTTCAAAACCATTTCGTTTTACAGTGTGTAGGAAATATTTAACCGCGTGTTTCATTTCCGGGGTATATACGCTACGTCACCATTTGGGGGTCGAATGGGCGCCTACGTGAATGTTGTCATTTTGTAGACCTTTGGGGAGCTGTGCATGCTGCTCTCTTCTCTTAAGGATAAAAATGATATTTACAAATTTTCTCTATTGAACATAGTTTGTTCAAGGCGTGTCCATTTCACCATTTTCCCGCTATGTATGGGCAAAGTAAACAATACCTAGCAGCCTTTTTTGATTCCACACTACTGCGCACATGTTTCAGGAAAATCGCCCTTTTATTATAATAATAACAATAATAATTTTTATGACAGTAGAGGCCGGGTGACCTAATAGTCAAAACTACATGAAATGACAGATCTGGAGGAGAAGATGGCGAATATTAAAGATGTGCTCTTCTTTTCTCAAAAGCTACTTGGACATATTTTGCATACTGATAGATTAGCTGTTTGTTGTCTGTTTGAGAAATAAAATTGCATTTGTCAATGTCAGTTAAAAACTGGAACGATAATATGTTGACTTGTTCGCATTTGGCAAAGAGCTGAAGCCTTTCCTGGTCATATAGACGGCAGTTAAAGAGGAAATGAAATTCAACCTCAATCTCATTGACACTGTCTCCCATGCAAAACCAACAAACCCTCTGATCAGGAGGGAGTGGAGCAGGAAGATTATACCTCCCAGTTTCAATTCTCAGAGAATGGCTGCTGGTTCTTAGTCTGGTGATTGGAACTGTTAAATTGGCGGGAATGACAGATAACGGTTCTCTCCTAAAACCCTGTTGAATTAGCTTGTATATAATTATGTATGTAGTTTTCCAGATGTGTCCCTTAAATTGCCTAGCCAACTTTGGATGTATTGGTCAGTAAGGTGTTGCTTCAGTTCGGCTAAGAATACCCTTTGATCGACCATGAGTGGCAGAGTTGATACATCTAGGAAGCCGGCATTATAATTATAGTTAGGGTGTCTTTGACAAACCTTGCCCATTGAAGCTCCTCGGATTTAGAGAGAGTATAAGCATCTTTAACAAGATCTGGAACATCCCAATTAGAGACTACCCTGAACCAGTATTTAATAAGTGAGACCTTCCTCTTGATCAGTAATGGGGTTCGCCCTAGATCCCCATAGCAAGCAATATTGGCAGCTGATCTAGGAACCCCGAGGACAAATTTGCAAACTTTTCTATGGACAGATTCCAGCTCGTCTGCTGGGAAACAACCCCATACTTCATTCCCATACTCTAAAATTGGTTTCACTAGTATGTCAAAGAGAAAGCAGGTCAGTGATGGATCAGGGAAAGAGTGACTCGGAAAAGGAAGAAGAGTGCCTTAGTCGCCTGATTAGTCAGAGTCGTGATAGCTGGTTTAAAAGAGCAGTTGCTGGCGAGAACAATGCCAAGGTACTTGTAGGTAGTTCCAAATTCCATTTCCATGTTATTGAATGGGAACGGGGTATGGCAATAATATCGATTCTTGTAGAACACCACAACCTTTGTTTTATCAATGTTTATTTTCAATTTCTAAGTCTGGCAATACTCATTCAGTCTGTCTAAAAAGTCTTGATGTGAATCTGCCAATAGCACCAAGTCATCTGCGAAAAGCAATAGCTGCACTTTGAGGTTGGTAAGTGTTATGCTGCCAGCCCTACTTGATGATTCTATGTCACTAATGAATAGGAGTGGACTTAGGTTACATCCTTGTCTCACTCCTTTAGAACAGGGGAACGAAGAGAAAAGTTTGTTTCTTACTCTGAAACTCTTGAGGATGCTTTTGTGTACATTGATATTAGTACTCTGATTATCTTTGTGCTCACACCCATTGAGGGCTATTTCGGTCCTCTACACCCATTGAGGCTAGTTTCTCCCAAAGTAGTTGGTGATTAACCGAGTCAAATGCTTTTGCAAAATCTACAAAAACACGCAAACAGTGGCTTATTTCTCTTCTTGTGTGATTGAATTGCTGTGGCGATAACAAAGATTGCGTCAGTAGTTCGTCTTCCTGGTCTAAAACCAAACTGTGCTTCGCCAAGTTTCCCATTACAGGAAGCAGTGTTATTCCCCTTGTAATTGGATGGACATTTCTTTTTCAGTATTGGTTTAATTATACCTAAGCTCCAAGCATCCGGATGCAAGTAACTTGTTAAATAGAGCCGTTGTAAACATTAAGTTTATCATTGAAAAGTTTAAACACTAATGAAGGGATGCCATCTATACCTGGAGCTTTATTCTTTTTTAACATGTTTAGAGCAGGTGCAATTTCTCTTTTGACCATAGGTTCGTCAAGAATGGGGACAAATGATGTAACTGGTGGATTGCAGTATGTATTATCAGTGCTGTTATCCAGAAGAGACTTGAAATAGGCCCCAAGTTCCTCCATGGGGATAGGTATATTATCGAGATCCTTAGACTGGTTAGTAGCCCTATCAACAAGCTTCCAGAATTCGCGAGGGTTATTTATTTTAGCTCGTTATGTAATAGATCGTTGCTTGACGTCTTTTCTTCCTGGTCAGTGATTTATATGCCCTCCTTTCTTGCCAGAAATGTCGATACAGCACTGTGTTTTCTGGATCCATCTGGAGTAGTCTGGCACTTTTCTTGAAACATCTCTTTGCTATCGTACACTCGTCGTCGAACCATTTATTACATGGAAATTTGTTTTTAGCTGATTGACAATGCTGTTTTCTTTCTATTATATACTTTAATTGACTCCTGGATGAAGCATGTGAAATTATGCACACAATCATTAGCCGCTCGGTTCTGAAGATCGATTTCAAATACCTGATGGCATAAATTTTTTGATAGATTTACATTCGTTACCCTCATTGATGGTAGGGTTTCCTTCATTTCAGAGACAAGTAATCTAGTAGAAGTTGACCCCTTTGTTCCGTCTACAATGAACAACTGCCGCAGAAGATTCTTGAAGCGAGCTGAAGTCACTCCCTCACCTTCTTCCACTCCTCTGTCTTCGAGGTGTAGTAGTAGCTCTTGGCTTAGCACTCCAGTTTCGGCCAGCCTAAGTCTACAAGTGTGGTAAACCAAACATGTACGCCTAGTCCACAAAGTAACCGACACCGTACAAAGTAAGGACCGAAACCCGTTGTCATACAATGACGGAAATAGGTATATACTTCCCTGATGACCGGCCAAGAAAACTGGTGCATAATGCATGTTACAACTCATGAACGCATGCGTGGTTGCTATGTGGCAGCGCCTCAAGGCTAGGATTGCATGGACACTGGGTTGCCGCCCAGGTAATGTGGACAAAAGCCCTCCCAACCCTGTTACTCTCTTACCTTCTTTCTCCTTATTTCCCTTTCTTATGTTTCTTCACAATCACACAACACACACGTGCTTACGAGTCAAGCCTAAGGCTGACCGGGTTAGCCACCCCTAACTGTCAAACCAGCGGCAGTACCTCTTCGGAGTGGGGTTGCAGAGCCTCCGTACGGCGTCTCACTGTGAGTCTGTGCCTATCTGTTTACTTTTACTGAGGCCTAGCTACCACTGGCTTCCCTGTGTGCCTCGTGCATTAAAAGTAACTGATGGGTAAACTATTCAACAGAGAGAAAATGAACACAGTCAAGAGATACTTAAGCTCACTCAGATCCCCAGCACCTACACCCTCACACCCACACACTACCAATTACTAGATAAGGGACTCGCCTTTTCCACCAACAGCCCCCTTCCAACCACAGAACTACACTGTAGAATACTAAATACTACAGAGTTTTGATAATCCTTAGACACATGAGCATCACTGGCTCCAGCACATCAACATCTCTCAAAGCCTTGCACAACCTCATAGCTACCTCTACAGACACGAAACTTACTCAAAGCTAAAGTGGAAACACCACTAGAAAGATACACTGGAGTTGGAAAACTAGAAACTTACATAGAAAACATAAAACAAGAATTGGCAGACAATCTACCTGAAGTGTGCAGCCATGCTCCACCTAACCCCACATTTTCACAACGGACAGCCCTCAGTAAACTTAGACATGCTGAAAACACTTTAACTATCGAACCTGCTGACAAGAACCTCTTATGAACGACGACTACACATCGCCTAGAATGCTTTTGGATCAAAGAACTACGTACACTCACACCACGCAGTCTTAATTAACATCCCACCTAGTTATAGCCACATTGACAAACACAAACTTTCTTTCTATAACACCCCAGATGGGGGTGGGGCCAACCCACAGAGGTGTTGGCCTCACCCCCACCTCTGTGGGATTTTTTATCACACACATTAATATGTATATCTCAACCATCAGCTGTCACAATAGTATCCACATCCTGTGCCAAAAGGCACTACTTATTAATATTTAATATTCATAACTATTTATACAACAGCACTAGTAAGCTGCCTAGTTAGAGAAGATCAAGAGAAGAAACGGTGAGCAAAATAATTATACAGTATAAAACATAGACTAGCATAAGTATGCTGGACTCGACTCCTTGCTGGGGAGTGGTCCCGCCTATTCCCTGATGACCGGCCAAAAAACTGTTGCATACTGCATGTTACAACTCATGAACACATGCGTGGTTGCTATGTGGCGGCGCCTCAAGGCTAGGATTGCATGGACACTGGGTTGCCGCCCAGGTAATGTGGACAAAAGCCCTCCCAACCCTGTTACTCTCTTACCTTCTTTATCCTTATTTCCCTTCCTTATGTTTCTTCACTAGCACACAACACACACACACGCGCCCAACCCATTCTTCCAGTCGCAATGGTACACACACACAGAGTCAGACAGACAAAATATGCGCGCCGAGGGTTAATGACATCATTCACGTAGACGCCTATATACGCTACCCCAAAATATTATACCCGGGAAACGTTTGCGCATGTATTATATCGTAATAAATTCCTCAGTCCGTTAATGCTGGAATTTTAATTAAACTGCTCGGGAATCAGGGAAACAATGGCGACGAAATCAGAGAAGCCGGTTGTCAGGAGCACTCACCACTATTGCAAGGACGGCGAGGAACTAGAGATCGTTGTTGAAGGTCTGGACGACGAGGCCCACGACGGGAAATTTTCTTACCTGAGAGAAAAGATAGGGAAGGTTAACAATGAGGTGTCTTCGGCAGTTGGCAAGTCGAAAAACGTCCTGAGGATCGCCAAAGAAGAGGCCTTCGCATCCAAGGTGGAGTCTATGCTGGCGAGGATGGGTACGGAGCGGTTTTCTGGGAGGCTGAGGGATATCTTCGAAGAGTGCCATGATTTTCTAGGCAACAAGGTCATCTCGGTCACACTCAACGCCGTTCCTATCGCCCTGGCCATCATGGAGGACGAAGGGATCGGAGAAAAGACGGTCGTACAGGTTGGGGACACCATCGCGTCTTACATCGGGGGGAAAATTGGCACGGCCGTAGGAGAAGCGGCAGTGCCTATGTTGATAGAATTCGCGGCAATACTGGGTCTAGGAATAACTGAAGCTGTAGGAACAGCCGTTCTCAGCGTGTTCGGTGGAATTGTTGGCGCAGTTATCGGTGGTACCATAGGAACTCTTATCACCCGCGGAGTGATGTCTCTTGTGTCCTACTTTTTTGGAGGAGCATCTGCCAAGTTTTCGCTGCCTCCAGGCTACAGGTTCCAGACCCTTGGTGGGCGGCGTCTCCCATATAAATGCGAACTTTCTCGAGAGCTGCAGTTCATCAAGCCAAAACTGGATACCGTAAGCCGCAAACACGCCCTCACACTCAAGTGTGAGTTGATGAAAGAGCTGCCCTCAAAAGAAGATCTTGAGAGAGAGCGTGATGCTGGGAAACAATATCTCACACGTAACCTTCCTCTAATACCCAGAAAGGGAGTGCTCAAGTCTGACCCAGACAGACAGTACTTGAAGTATAAACATTATACAAAGCACTGATAGAAATAGCACACATTTTTCATGACAGCTTTTATTATATAAACATGATAAAGAAAACAGAGTTAGCTAGCATAATAGCAGCTATAGCTAGTTAGCTATTTTGAATCAGAGATAGTGAATATCATCTGCTTGTCTCCTCCCTCCTGCGCAGCCGTTAAGACTGCCTCCACTTTGTACTCGTCAAGTACACGCAACTTGTGAGAATCGTCTTCTGCATTCTCGTAACCCAACTTAGCTCCAGGGCTTCCCCCGATCCCTATGTACGTCTTGAAGGACCCTAGGAAAGGATTTGTGAATCCAATTCGGAGGTACTTGTCTTTGCGGTTCTTCTGCTCGATCTTAAACGTTAATCCGCCCGTAACTCCAGTCGGGGCACTTTCTCTGTTAGACACAAAGCCCTTCGATGCTTGGTTGGGGCCGATAACAGAAGCCGACAAGTGTTCGAACCACGTCCCACTGTCGAAATGCTCTCCGGCGAACGTTAGAGTTGCCGCTTTTGTATCATTACTGACCGTCAACTCCAAGCTCCTGAGCTTCTTCTCAAATTCCTTTCGGTTAGTGACATGCACACCCGCCATACTTTGCCCAGGAAACTTCGTGTCAGCAGTGTGCGCACGTGCGCACGCGCGCAAATATGAATACCTCTATTAACGAGTGCTGATCGGTGACACGTATTCTTCTCGTTAGCTAATCATCATAGTAGAAACGCCCTTCTCTTATTAATTAACAATGCCCATTTTCTGCTTCAAAATGAACATTCCTTTCAGAATGCATATGTCAAGAGAGCAAAACCCCAGCATATCTTATAGGTCATCTGCTGTTCAGGATGGGTTAATGGGTTCACTGGCCTACAAACAACAATGGTAAGTATTATCCTTCCTCTCGTTTTGACTTGTACTCATCACATTCTAGCCTCCCTGGTGTGAAAAAATGTGGGCAAGGTATGGCTGTAGTGTCATACAGAAGACTGTATTTAAGAATGTTCTCTAGCCAATATTCACAGCACGTTACACTCTTGTGACAGATGGTGCTTTGCTATGAATTCTACAAACCCTAGTGTGTGAGAGAAATTCCTCATGCAATGTGCGGCCACACATGCACTGTCTGTAAGCAATAATCACAGCCATCTATAAAAGTCAAAGATAAGCTGGCAAACATAGGTATAGCTACCTGCAATGATAGAGTTCAGAGGAGTTGTAAACAGTGGCGTTTTCAGATATTGCTGGTACAACAAAAGTTCGTCCGTGGAGCTCTACTAGGGGTATGATATGCATACAGACTCAGAAAGTGCATACAAACTATGTAACCAAAAGCTTAAGTCAGGATAATGATCGGAAGGACGATAGAGCCCCCACTCTGACTTCTACTTTGGCACTCCTCATCCACCAGATAAGAGCCCACACTGCTGGACAGGTGAACTGGAGTCAGTATCTATTTGTTTCTAGGCAGAAATGACAGCAAAAAACAATTAATGTCTGGCTGTTGGTCGATGCATCTTACAGAGCTAAGTTATGCAAATAAAACTTCACCTCGTACAGTCATCGTCTCTGTGGAAAAAATGCTGCAGTCTTTAACACTTAACCAACCACAGACACATTAATGTGTCCAGAGCCTCCATAAGTCCATAAGAGATGTTATAAGAGTAGGCGATAATATGTCAATTCCTTGATGAGTTAGATCTTGATGGATAGTGTATCAAAAGACGGTATACGTTGATAATGAATGTAAAAGATGTGATGTGATTACACACATCATCTTTCACAATGCAGCAGTCATGACACTTAACAAAGGTTACTTGTTCAAATTTAAACTCTTTCACTCTCTGCTGCAGATCAAGATTTTCTGAAATACCACAGAATATTTTCATAGTCATGCTGATGGTGTAAAATAAAACTATACCTTCTTCTGGAACTAAAGTGGTTGTGCAGCACCACCAGAAGGGTTCAACACGTAGAGTGAAACTTTCACTCTCGTCTCAGTGCCAGTGTAGCTACACAGATAAGAACCCAACAATTGTATATACCTGGATATAAGTAATAAAACATTGTGGTGTTGGTTGTCTATTGATTAAGCCGCACTGGAGACAAAATAAACTCTGGACTTTAACACTTAACCAGCCACGGACACAAATGTGTCCAGAACTTGCATGATTTCATAAGAATTTATATAGGGGTTATAATACTGAGGCGCTAATAGTTTATCACTAAGTACGGTAGTATGTACTTAGTATATAGGGATTGACATGGTACCTAGCATCATAGATGTATGGGGCTATGATAGGGAATTTTGTTCATCTTCTCCTTCTCCTTCTCGTTCTTCTTCTTCTTCTTCAGATTCAACACCCATAACTCAAAAACGAAACAACATATAGAAATGAAATTTTGTAAGAATGTAGATATCCATCACCCAAAGAGACTGGTCATACTTATTTCTTTGTAAACAACAACAAATAGCCCCAGGCAATACATTATAAAGGGATCACATGTGTCAGTATAACTCACAAATGGTATATAGGAGCTATGTGAACGAAACGTTGTAGACATAATGTATTCAATCACCAACATCAACAATACATGTTTGTAAACAACAACAAATAGCCTCACACTTTTTAAAATTTACTTATTCACTCCTCAAATTCTCCAATGGTAGCACACATAGAGATGAAACTTGGTAAGTATGCCTATTGTATCATTTCCATGACGATTACATGTTTCCATGACGACCGCATTTTGTTTGAAAAAGTCTCAGGCAATTTTCTTTAAAACCACTTCTTCACTTCTCAAACTCGCTAACGGTACCACACATGGAGATGGAACTTGGTACACATGCGTATAACATCGTTTCCATGATGACCACAACAACAAATAGCCTCTGGCACTTTTCTTTAAAATTACTCCTTCACTCCTCAAACTTGCACACATGGAGATGAAACATGGTATGCATATCATTTCCCTGACGACAACTGCCATTATTTCTCTATTATTAATTTTTATAGGGGCTTGCCCCCTTCCACAGAGATAATACATAGTAATGTGTAAGAAAATGAGTGGAGACAAGTAAATTAAAAATCCTGCGAATTTCAAAAGGCGGCATATAGGGATCGTATAAAAAGAAAGGGAGACAAGATAGGGATTGTGTTTGTGGAAGCACAGAGATGCTAGCGAGGAGTTAGGACTCCCACAGGTCATTACAACAGCCCTATATCGTCGTATCGGTGCTTGACCACGGAGTAAAATCTTCCTCGCATAAGTATCAGCAACCATGCATACTTGAATTTGGTTTTCTTGTTTTCCATGTAATGATGTTATGCATGTACATTGTTTTGGTCAGCAGATTATTACGACAGTACACCTTGATGTGCATAGCTACACTCCATAGGAATGTAGCATGACAAGATCGATGAAATGTACACAACAATCATTATTAAGTAGTACAGTACTTAGCAATACTCTTTCATAGCAATACCCTTTCATAACCTTCACTCCCACCGTACGACGATATAGGGCCACCTTTTTAAATTCGCAGGATTTTTAATTTACTTGTAACATAATTATAATTCCTTTGATTTAAGAAGATACCCATCCAAAGGGTTAAGCAGATACCCATGGCGTCCAAAGGGTTAAGTTTTATAATCCACACCTCATTCTTAATTCCATGCACCAGCAGTAATATTTAACATTGTGTGTGATTGATCAACAACAGAGATAACACTATTTACGGCCCTGTGTTGGAGCACTGTAACAGGTGCACGGACTGTGTTCCTTCACTTCTGTCACAATAAGACTTTGACACAATCTATGCCAGCTCTGAACCCAATCTTGACTGTTTGGGGGCTCCCTGTCCTTCTCCCCTTCTCTCTTCTCTTCTTCTCCACTGGCATGCATCTAGCTATAGAATGATCCGAGAGCTGGTTGCACTGCAATGCACCAATGTCTGAGTATACCTACCAGTCCTGTTTTAGCCTTTCTTACTTAGCTATAATTAAGTCACCCTGTGCATATTTCCTGTTGAATCACACCAATGTTAGTAGCTATAACTAGCTACTTTAGTAACTTTATGATCTTTTTCCGATTAAATCTTCACGTTAAGTCAATGCATCCATGAATCACTGAAGGTGAAAATTCATGCATGACAAATACACTTCGAATTGTAGTACAGTTTGGGATGAGGGGGGCTAGCCAAGTATCCCTCAAGGGGTATCAGAATGCATTCTGACCCCTTACAGATTGGGATTTGTTTTTAAACCTCTCAGGTAGGTGGGACTTATCCGACGTTACCTCACATAAGCTCACCATGAGATGCAGCAACCACCTCCACCTGACATAAAAATTCAATCAGCTAGCAAAAAAACTTATTTCTTAGCTACCTTCGTCATGACACTTTCGAAGAGCGTCCATCAGCAACGAACTTCATGATTCGTTGGGCATTACGAAGAATCGTGATACCGGCCATTGCAGGACGGAGTGACCTAGAGGGGAAGCGAAAATAGGCGGAGGCGGCACCACCTTCCACGACACGCGCATGCGCTATAATTCTTCCCCGCTGTATAGGGAGTATTTTGCTGCCGTGTCCCTGTTCGTTGTCTTTGCAGTAATCGTAATGCTAGAGGAGTTACAGCATGTTTGATTCTTCTTTTAACTGACTTGACTTGTTAGTTTTTGTTTTTTGCCATGATCATTTGTGCGTTAAGGCATTTATGCATGAATCCTATTGTTGGTATATACCAATAACCACTGAGACAGCCTACACTCCACCTATACATAAATGCACATGGAAGTATATACTAAAAAGAACATCAACACCTGAAGAGCTAAACCTGTAGTCAAATGAGGTCTAAGGCTGGGGAATAAATATGCAGTTTTTCTCAAAAAATTGTGTCATCCAAGGATTTACACTTCATTTCCTCTGGTATGGGGGTGTTGTTATGGATGCACAGGTGTATTTGCACTTCATTAACTACGAGTGAGGTAATGTTGTTATAGCTGCAATCTCATGGGGAATCATTCTTTCGTCCTTAAACTCATGGCGCCACATTGGTATTTCCACAACTAGTGGTAACTAATGGAGTGTTGAGAGTGTCAGTTGGTGCAATAATGCGGATCCGCTCGCTCTGTGTACCTTGGGGGCTCAGGAAGTCACAACGAATGGCATGTATCGACTCCCGTATGCTGCAGCTTGCCCGGGTGTTCGTTCGTCTCACAAAGGATATGACCTACTTAAAGGGCAACGAAGGTCAGAAATTTCTAACGGTTTTCTTTGAAAATGCTCCTTTGCAAAGCTAGAGCGCTTCCAGCATTGTGTACGGTAGTCGGCCATGCGGAAAATGCGCATGCGCATTGCAAATTTGCACAGGCTTATATACCTCCGCTCGCTCTGTGTACCTTGGAGGCACAAGAAGTCACAACGGAGGGCGTGTATCGACTCTAGCATGCTATCTACTACTGTAGCCAGACTCTACCAGCGGGAAACCGCATACTAATAGCCCAGCCCAACAGCCGTAGACTATGCGCAGTTCGCCGAGCGCAGTTTGCCGAGGGTTTGCACTTCAGTGCTTTTCATTTGGTTCTGCAATCGTTCAAGTTGCTTTTGTGAGGTACAAGAAAAGAAGTGTGCGTCTTTCATCTAAGACAGTAAAGTGTGAGATCTGTAAGTGTATCATGTTGGACGATCTTGGATGAGCCCTATAGCTAACATAAAAGATCTCCCTAAAAATCTTAAAGTGGTTATTATTTTTTTACTTCTTGAGACGCTGCAGGAACATGGTTCTGCGCTGAGGGTTTGCACTTTGCTCTTAACAGTGAGTAGCTATCCTTCAAGAATCAGGCAGTTCTTATGTTGCTAGCTATGCGCAATGAATCATGCCAACACATAATACACTATGCGAGACAAAGGAAATGGGGTGAGACAAAACAATGAGCAAAACAAACACTACATCAGTCAATACTATTCATAGTAGAGTGTTTCTAAACAAAGAGTAATTTCATGAATAGTCACATTTAGTGAAATTGTCCTGCTGGGAAATCAGAAACGACCTGTGGTGTCGTGGTAACAACTACAGCTGATGATTGACGCATCTGATGTCTTTTACAGTGGTAGCAAACACAGCAGAGTAATACCGATATTACTACTATGAAAATCAGGCCTCCAATAACTCCACCAACAGTTGCAAAAGCATTACCTGTGTAAAGATGTGTTATCAATACATAGACGTTCTATATATGAATAGTTATTAAACACCATTAGCTAAGATAGAGATGGTTAAGATTAGGAACCTCTATAACATCCAGGACTAGCTATGCCCACTGAGCAATGAGGCAGTTGGTAGACATCACCAAGAGCGCACCAGCCCCGCATAGCAGAGTGACAGAACATGCCACGGGAATAGAATTTGATCAGTCCATTGCCATTTTTTCCTACTATATACTGAGTCTTATACAGTAAGTTGAAGCAGGGGTGTGCACAGAAAATTATGGTGGCACCAAAATATTAGCGCCAAGAGCTCTTCTGGCGCTTCCAGTGCCAGCGCATAAAGTATCCCACTCTGGACAAACGTTTTTTAATGTGTATATATACATGCCCCACACGTAGGGTGCGCGCCCTCACGCGCTTACACGCGGGTGTGCACGCTCGCTGTGCTGTTCGCTATGCAGTTTTTGCTGGCACTGGGTTTGTCTGGCTTGGCGCTCACTAAAACCACCTGACGCTATCTTGAGCGCCATAGCGCCATATTCCCACCCTGTTGAAGTGACAGTGTTATGTTGCTACTGTAGTAGCTCTGTGCTAGATGCAACTTATGTACTCCACTTCAAGTGCAGGGGCACACACATACATACCAAAACTATTTTTGTGAGCTGAGGGTTAATAAACTCACGTATACATGGATCATCACAGTCAACCTCTTTACTATTGCATTCACACCTTGCTAAAACAAAACAATTGCAGTAACTAAGACATACAAGCCATTTGTATCTACATCATCTTACACTGTTGTGAAAGTATCGGTTGAAAGGAGCAGAGGACAATAACCAGCACACAAACTGAATGCGTTGCGTTCATGTCACTCTTCGTTGTAAGCTGAATGCGAAAGGGTCTCCGAATAATAGCTATTCTGTAACTGTTTGATGGCTAATATCAAATGCAGTTATGCTGAAATTCACCTTGGGCAATTGCTGTTCTCAGTTCCAGTCAGGGAAATTATTGAAAGTCAGCCAAGCAGCAAGCCCCCGGTTCTGGCGATCGTATAGTCTCTGTTGGTTTACGAAGCTGGCGACCTATGAACCATGAAGCAAATGAAATGTGAGTGTGGATCCGTTGCTTATATCTAGTAAGTATTAGCTCTATGTACACTGAACCCTGCCCCGTCGAGTGTGCTTAATATTACCTCACATTTCCCCACATTACCGGACGGATGTATAATTATAGTGGGAAAGTTCAGCATTCCGAGTTGGTTTCGCCGGTGCGTGACATCAGGTGATTCGGTCGGAAACAGTACGCCGAAGCATCACGCCTTGGGCTGCAGGCGGTGCCAAGAATACCCCGCGGTATCCGAAGGTGTCACTCAAGTGCGCACTGCAGCACTAGTGTGGATATACTCGTTCTTTAGGAACTTTCACACCTTCAATATATACAATGCCTTACTGCACGTAGTCGTGTATAGGTATGCAGGTGTGTTTTCAGGAGGGCCTTGGGACTCTGAAAGGTTTTAAGGCCCCTGACACACTACTTAGATTCAACCCTCCATTCCCTATGCATTGAGGGACAAAGTTGAGAAGTTGCTACAGTGCCTCCACGAAGGGACTACCAGAGAACCAGTGGATTTTGTCGAGTGGTCTGCGGCTGTCCTGAAATGATAGGAACACTGTCCGTATCTGTGGTTTCTTTAATGTCATTGTCAACCCTGTTTCTTCTGAGTTTAACCAGGTACCCAATTCCAAAGGTTGAGGACATTTTGTGAAGCTGAGCAAGCCCGTTTAGACAGGGCTGGGCAAAGGGTGAAAAGGTGTGAGTTCATGCATGAAGTCTTCTGTTACATACTTAGGTCACAGAATAGATGTAACTATTACCGCTTGCCATTGCTAACTCTCAAATGTCTACACCTGACTATAATAATACTCACTGAAGCCGGTGGTAGCTATGTTTTGGTGTAAACAATGCCTTATTACTGCACGTAGTCCTGTATATAGGTATAATATGCAGGTATGTTTTTGGGACTCTGAAAGTAAGGCTTGACCCTGACACATGACTTAGAGTCAACCCTGCATGCTCCATTCCCCATGCACTGAGGGACAAAGTTGAGAAACTAGAGCTACAGTGCCTCCACTAAGAGAGTACCAAAGAACTAGTGGAGTTTTGCCGAGTGGCTTGCGACTGTCCTGAGGAACACTGTCCGTATCTGTGGTTACTGTAGAGTGTCATTGTCAGTGTCAGTTTCTCCCATTATAATAGAAGACGTTGACTGGAAATGGGGTGCTGCTCAAACTAAGCCCTAAAAGATCTCCTTGCTTTAGAGAAGAGTATCTCACTCTCTTTGATTCAGCTCTTGAGCTTACTCTGGCTTATGATGCCTCAGCTTATGGTCTATGGGCAGTTATGGTTTTATTTCAAGCGGGACGAAAAATTAGTGCTGTAAAAGTTTCAGTCACAACAACAATCGGCTTAGTTGCGACATTTCTGTTCTCTATATTCACGATGCATTAGGGACAGAAAACATGCACACACACAACACATGCACGCTGCCACTGTGTTAGTAACGCTGCACGATCAATAGTATTCATTACATGACACACGATTGAAGAGAGCCCATAGCTTACTCGGCACATACACTCCCAGCTATGATTATAACATGAACAGTCTCAGCTGGAGAAGGAAGGTCTTGCCTGTATTTTTAGCATAAAGTGAGTTTAGCCGTTCCTTTGAGCTGGTGACAGCTAAAAGCCTCTGCTGGGTTTACTGAAAGAGTATCGTGCTACATCCTCTCGTATCCAACGTTGGTCTTACCATAAGTATAGACTTATGTTCCAAAACACATCAGTACATGCAAAACGTCGACGGTTTAGTTCACACAGATATGCAGCTGTGTTTGCTAACATATGGTTGCCCTTGTGAAAACCCCAAATGCTGATTTATGATGTAAGGTGTCAGGGGAGTCCAGGGAGTCAAGGGAGTCCAGAGAGTCAGGGGAGTCAAGGGAGTCCAGGGGAGTCAAGGGAGTCCAGGGAGTCCAGAGAGTCAAGGGAGTCAAGGGAGTCCAGGGGAGTCAAGGGAGTCCAGGGAGTAAAAGGGAGTTAGGGGAGTGTACATTAAGTTTTCACTCCCTGTCAACAGCAGATACATTATAATACACTTGTGTATGTGTGTGTTGGTATTTCTCATGGCTCTTTGCTTGAGGTCACAGTGTGTGTATTCACATCACCTCCTTCTTTACGGCGTCCTTGTAATTAGTACTCACAGTGTTGTAAAGGAGGAGTGCTGATTCAGCATATTTCGGTAGTCTTAACCCTTTGAACGCCATGGGTATCTCCTTAAATAAGCCGAAATTGATGTATAACGTATTAACGGCTAGTATTATAGCCATATATAAATTCTTATGGACTTATGGAGGCTCTGGGCATATTATATACATGCCTGTGGCTTGCTAAGGGTTAAATAAGTAATCCTCGGCAATCCTTGGGAGTACTAGTATTATGGGACCTGAAATGATAGCTGAGGGATAGTTCATCTTCCACCACTTGTTGGGACAATCCCAGGCAGTCCCCTCAATACCTATACAGTATCCCGGATTCCTGGGACCATCCCTAGTAGTCCCTCTACACCTGCCAGTCCCAGGATACATAGTATCCCAGGATTCCTTGCAGGGTTTCATCTACAGGGGGCAGGGGGGAAGCTTCTCCTTAAATAAGCAGAAATTGATGTATAACGCCTAGTATTATAGTCTTATATAAATTCTTATGGACTTATGGAGGCTCTGGGCATACTATAATTATATATGCCTGTGGCTTGCTAAGGGTTAAATAGCTCAGTAATCCTTGGCAATATTTGGGAATACTTAGTGTTATGGGACTTGCTAAGGGATAGTGCATCTTCCACCACTTGTTGGGACAATCCCAGGCAGTCAATACCTATACAGTATCCCTGGATTCCTGGGATCATCCCTAATAGTCCAGTCTACACCTGCCAGTCCCAGGATACATATATAGTATCCTGGGATTCCTTGCAGGGTTTCCTCTACAGGGGGCAGGGGGGAAGCTCCCCCCCAAACTTCACCACTTCCCCCCCATTTTTCTATTTTGCCAACTAAATACTTTTACAACACAATTCGACACTTTTTTGTTCTTTCCAGTGGGTAATAATACATTCATATTTACATTGTTAGCACATGGTAGTGATCTCTAATTATAAACTGACACCTACTTTCCTGCGCTCGCAGCACTGATGAGTGAGTGGTATTTCGAAATTCCAAACTCTAGATGAAACCCTGCCTTGGACTATCCCAAGTAGTACCCTCTACAGGTATAGCCACACCTTCCAGTCCCGGGATACTTAGTATTATTATTATTTCAGCTTTACAACACAGGTAGGAGGTGGTACCAGATAACACGGGAGGTGGTGACAGATGTGTTGAAGGTCTGAAGGCATCAAGCCAGCAGCCATAATTAATAGGACATGACTAAATGAAAAGCACTAAAGTGCAAACCCTCGGCGAACTGCGCATGCGCGATACTGCTAATTGATAGGCTGGGCCGGCTATTTGCGTTTACTCGTGGTCTTCCGCTAGTAGCCCGCGGCACGGGCTAGCTACAGTAGTAGATAGCATGACATGCCATTGGTTGTGACTTCCTGAGCCCCCAAGGTACACAGAGCGAGCGGATCAGGTCGCGGTAAGCCCAGTGCGATTATGCATATTGGCTTTTTCGCTTGTTTTCACGGCATATCTCTCGAACGAAGTCGTTTCAGGAAAATCGCCTAATCAGTTTTCAGGCTCCCGTAGTTATGAATCCGCTGGTATCGCTAACCGGCCGCCTCGTAGCCTGTAGTGCCAGAATAAGCGTCGACACACAGACAGACAGACAGACAGACGACTACTGTAATCCTCGCTGCGCATGCGCGCCGAGGGTAATACCCTCGGTAGTATGCGCGGTTGGGCTGGCGTTTACTCGCGGTCTCCCGCTAGTAGCTTGCGGAGAGTCTGACACTGGCTAGCTACAGTAGTAGATAGCATGCGGGAGTCGATACATGCCCTTCGCTGTGGCTTCTTGTGCCTCAAGGTATATACACAGAGCAAGCGGATCAGGTCGAAGTGAGCCAGCATACTGCGTCTAATACACGCATGCGCACCGCTTATTGATGGGTTTGGCCACGCAACGCTGTCCGCAACCGTGACAGTTTGTCGCTCTCGAACGCAAAGATCGCCATTTTATTTTTCTAGCCCATGTACCGCTAAAGCTGTTGGTATCGCTCATAAGCCCCCGTACTATCAGACAGACAGACACTACAGTAACCCCCGCTGCGCATGCGCGCCGAGGGTTAAATGCATCCTGCCAGTCTCTGGAGACTTAGTATCCATGGATTCCTGGGACCATCCCAGGTAGTACCCTCTAGCTATGGTGAAGAAGAAGACACTATTTCAAGGATCGGGGGATGCAGGTATACTACTCCTCAACTGCAGGTGCCACCTTGTAAAACATTTTTTTTGCCTACTTGTTTTGCATATGGCTATCAACCCTGAAGGTTTTCTTGCATTTGTGCATGCTAATTTGAATGGGCTTACTTCGCGAAGGTCTGCTTGCTCTGTGTATCTTGAAGGCACAAGAAGTTGTATCGACTACCGCATGGTATCTACTGCTATATATAGCTGGCCCATGTCAGACTCCTCGAGCTATAATATACTAGCGGGAGACCACGAGTAAAATATGTATAGCTTATAGTGTTCTATCCAAGTCATACTGCTGATCCTGGAACATCACACGTGTGCAATAGGACGACATTATAACTTAACCAGCCACTGATACCTCTCCAGGGCTTGCATAAGTCCATAAGCAATAACTAGGCTAATCTACATAATATTACAGTTTTCAATTCTTTCTCTGGTGACACACATGAAATCATGACATTTGTGTAGTTTCCCAAGGAGTCTTTGCTTAACCCATGCAATAAGCTCATATGGTCTACACGACACTTTCTCTCCCCTAGTGTCCTATTAGATAGGGACATCTGTGCTAGCTGCTAACATTACTGATTGCCATGCCCGAACAGCTCCTTTTAGAGCACTCACAACACTCTTTCTCTCTATCATCTTCAACAGTGATTCTAGTCCTAGATTCTTATGGATAGGCAGCCAGTGTATCAGAAGACGATACGTTGAGAATGAATGTAAAAGGTGTGATGTGATTACACACATCATCTCTCACAATGCTGCAGTCATGACACTTAACAAAGGTTCCTTGTTCAAATTTAAACTCTTTCACTCTCTGGAAATACCACAGAATTTTTCGTAGTCATGATTATGCTGATGGTGTAAAATAAAACTTAACCTTATTCTGGAACTAAAGTCACATTGAATGGTTGTGCAGCACCACCAGAAGGGTTCAACACATAGAGTGAAACTTTCACTCTCGTCTCAGTACCAGTGTAGCTACATAGATAAGAACCCAACAATTGTATATACCTGGATATAAGTAATAAAACATTGTGGTGTTGGTTGTCTATTGATTAAGCCACACTGGGGACAAAATAAACTCTGGACTTTAACACTTAATCAGCCACGGACACAAATGTGTCCAGAACTTGCATGATTTCATAAGAATATATATAGGGGTTATAATACTAGGCACTAATAGTTTATAACATAATTATAATTCCTCTGATTTAAGAAGATACCCATGGCAACCAAAGGGTCAAGCAGATACCCATGGCGTCCAAAGGGTTAGTGTTATAACCCACACCTTATCCTTAATTCGATGCACTTATTGAGCATTGTGTGTGATTGTTCAACAACAGAGATGACACTATTTACGGTAGCTATAGCCCCGTGTTGGAGCATTGTAACAGGTGCACAGACTGTGTATCTTCACTTCTGTCACAATAAGACTTTGACACAATCTATGCCAGCTCTGAACCCAATCTTGACTGTTTGGGGGCTCCCTGTCCTTCTCCCCTTCTCTCTTCTCTTCTTCTCCACTGGCATGCATCTAGCTATAGAATGATCTGAGAGCCGGTTGCACTGCAATGCACCAATGTCTGAGTATACCTACCAGTCCTGTTTTAGCCTTTCTTACTTAGCTATAATTAAGTCACCCTGTGCATATTTCCTGTTGAATCACACCAATGTTAGTAGCTATAACTAGCTACTTCAGTAACTTTATGATCTTTTTCCGATTAAATGTTCTCATAATGGTCAGGGTCTTCACGTTAAGTCAATGCATCCATGAATCACTGAAGGTGAAAATTCATGACAAATACACTTCGAAGCATAGTACAGTTTGAGATGAGATGTAGTTAGGTATCCCTCAATGAGTATCAGAATGCATTCTGACTCCCTTACAGATTAGGATTTGCTTTTAAACCTCTCAGGTACTACTTGTTATCTTAACCTAAGGACGGAGTTCCTCAGCTACAGAGATCGTGTGTGATTTAGCTACAAGATCCCCTGGATTACCTGTGCAAACTGTCCAATGGTCTACATAGGACAGAGGCTGGATGCAGGCTTTGCCAACGGCTGACTGACCACAAAAGATCAGCAGTCAGGATGGCCAATTTCAATTTGGCTTGGCATGCATGGTATGCTAGCCACGCTGTCGACTGGGAGAACACCTGTGTCCTCTAAAACTGCTCAGACTACCATGCTATGTAGGATAACCCAGGAAGCTATCTACATTAATCATACTTGAACAGGATACAGGCAGGCACTTTGCCACCTATTTATGATGAGCTTGCGGATGCTATGAGATTTTTTTGATTATCATCTATGTGTTAGGTTTTTCTTATTCATCTCACAATCACTGTCCTGTCGATGCATTCCTTTTTCTTTCCCTTGTTTCCAGGTTAGTCCTTAGTACATCTGAGTTCTCTGTTTTCGTATCTCAGTTCTCACTGAGTTTTTAATTTCTCTTTATCTTGGTCCTGACATGTATGTTGAAGAAAGTGGACATGCAGGGTGTGATGGGGAGGTCTCCTGTACAGCAGTGGACGTGGTCTAGTTGCACATCTGATCACATGAGCGAGTATCGCAGTACTAAGTGTGGTAAAAAACATTTTGGAGACTTTAAAGGTTTTCATGATGTTAGGTCTACTGCATTTCTATGTTGTGATGTTTGTAAAAAACAGTGTCAATGTGGTAAATGTGACGAGAATATTGGAGTGTAGTGTAATATCACGGCACATGCACACTAATCCAAATTTTTGGGATTTATGCTTTCTACCATCAGTTCTGGTGTTGCTGCAAGATTCTAACTATTCTCGTTTGGTGATAGGCGACTTCTACTTCTGATTGGAACAATGAGCTCTTTGTCAGATCCTCTAATGTAATGATAATGTTTTCCGAGCGGAATGATTGCCTTTTTTGACTCTTTCGCTCCAAGGCGTGATTTTCCTCCTGCGTACAGGCCATGGTAGCCTCGTTCCCATGACTTCCGCGAGAGAGAGAGGGAAGGCCTGGTACACACTGTTTGCGCATGCGCTTAATTTTCCCAACATTCTAGGAATTCCGTATCACGCTCGGATAATCTCCGCGTTGGTTTACGTCACTCTCGTATACCGTCGCGTTTTGAGAGACGGCTCAGGATACATGAACAAGTAGAGCGCACGGTTGGCAACGACGTTGGACCGACAGAGACGGCAGTTACGGGTCTCCATGCGCCACTCGCGCGGTGTTTAGTCTCGCTAGCTAGCAAGACTACGCGGACTATGACGTTGCGATACACGCCCACAATTTTCTGTGATGCATTCATAAATATTCGGGTATTGGCGGACGACCGACCCCCGCATGCACTCACCTGAGCTGCAACACACCCCCTGGATAGGCGCCCTCAGAGTAGGCTGAGTGAGTGGTTGTTATCTATGTCCATCCCGACGCTCGACTTAGCTGGTCCTCTGGAGGAAGGAGCCAAACAGCTAGTGGCTGCCCTTAAAGATCCCGGTTTCCTGTACTTGAAGAATGTCAATGGATATCAATCTGGTACGTAGCTAAGTAGCAGAATAGTTATCCGTGCTGAACTTAGGCCGACACACAGACGGTCACTTCGGTGAAACCAACAGTAATACACTGGCACTGTATCACTACAACTCTGGTATTTTCACAGATACCCATGTATTATAGTATAGTAATCATTATTTGCCAGTCGTAAGGTCAAAGGGTTACCTTACACTTCTAACACTGAAGTGCAAACCTTGGCGTATTACGCATGCACGGTACCGCTAATTGATAGGCTGGGTCTCCACGCTAGTTGGTCGCGGAGAGTCTGACACAGGCTAGCTACACTATAAGATGTATTTAACTAACAAGCGTCATGCAGTCAGGGAGAGTTAAAAAGCTAGTTCTGCTCAGCTGCTCCTCCGTACATCATTAACTAGCCTACCATTTCTCACATGAAAGCATTAGCTATCGCCAGTGTCAACTGCTTGAATAGAATAGCGTTTTTCAATCTCAAAAAGTACAGTCCTTACCATTACTTACACACTTAAAAGAATAATAATACGTACCAGGTATACCAAACTTAGTGTATTCCATTCACTTTAGATGAAACTGTAAGTACCACAAAGTGGTTCTATGGCCCTGTCCAAGGAGATACGGATGTCTCTTGCTCGAAAACACTGGAATCCTCAGAGTTTGAACAGTTATCGCGGTTATTACCCAGTAGTTGAAGGAGTCGCCTGCTACAAGGAGGGAATTGAATTCAGTGTTGATCTCCCTGCTGATGATCCAGACGTGCTGTCAGATGTGTACATGTATGAAGCCAATGTCTGGCCGCCAAAGGATATTCCAGGGGCTCTGGAATTCAAAAATTATATTCTAAATTATTATGCTTCCATGAGTGAAGTGGGGCTTACAATCACCCGGATGTTAGCAATTGGGCTTGGAAAGGAGGAAAAGTATTTCGATGAGCTTTTCGTGAACAAACCTCTGAGTACACTGCGACTGATGCACTATCCAGTGAGGCCACAGCCAATACCTGAATCTGCCAAGAAAGACGGGCTAGTTTTAACCTGTCTCGAACACACAGACTCGACCTTCATGGCACTGCTGAGCACATTCGACTATGAGGGGCTGCAAATTATGCTGAAAGATGGTTCTTGGGTAGACGTTTGAAAGTTCGACCAGACTGTCTCGTGATGAAATGCTGGAGATGCTCTCATCAAGGACACAGGTCAATTTAAAGCCACGAGGCATCGTGTAGTTTGACTATGGCAAGGAAGCGCTACTCAGTTCCATTCTTTATCGAGCCTGCTACTATGGAGAATATGGCCAGTTTGAGAGGGATCTGAGTCAAAGGAAGATAGAATATGACGAAAATGAACCATCAACTCTAGCCTTGGGTTGACAAAAGGATGAAAGAACAAGAATTTCTCTGATTTTCCAAAGTAAAAGCCTTGGACAATAGCTATAGTTTCTCTGTACTGTATTTTTCTGCCCATTTCCGAGTTTTTGTTATTGCAAAACCATTATCACACTATTTCACCAGAGAATGTGGCTGTACATGCAAAATATGGAACTGCAGTACAGTTTCCATATGTTTCAGTAAAGCAACATTACACTCTATCATACGTCCTTTTGTTTGCTGGATATAAAAGAATGGAAACGCACTTAAAGTGCAAACCCTCGGAGCACTGAAAACGCACGCATAGCATTGTAGTGCAAAAAAAACACCAACGGCTGGGCCACAGTGTCTCGGTCTCAGAGTGGTGTCTCTTGCAAGAGTTTGACACAGGCTAGCTAGACTATATACAGTTAGTGGATAGCAAGTTTGTACAAAACAACTTTACTGAGCAAAAAAACCAAAAATCATGCATTACCATAATAGTATTTCAAACATGTGTATGTTAGTTACAATGGGCTCTATTAGAAACTGAATGAAAGCCACGTAGTCGTAGCAAACTAGTTCGCCTCTCTGGCTTGTTTGTCTATGGCATCGTCCGAGAGTCCATCCCTCCTGTGACAGAAAGAAAAACCCACATATGAGAAACAATATCTCAGCAGTACCTTTACTGTCACTATAATATTACTTATCACACCGCCAACCTATGCCATGATAACTCCGATTGCAAAAGTTTCCGCGTTTCTCTTAAAGCAAGATTAATATGATAGGTTTGGATAGCTGTTGGCTGCTAAGAGGAAAAAGCTTTCTAGAAGTATCTACCGGAATATAGCCCATGGAGCATGCATTCATACTCTTCGCCCTGGCTTACGTTCACCATAGATAGCAGCTGATGAATGCAAATTTTGTTACGACCTATCTCTCCCTCCAAGACCTAACACTATGTACACATGTGACATAAAACCGCAACATTAGCTTGGTCTATGCATGCAGTTATCAAGTAAATTACTTGATTGATGTGGTCTATGAGGCATGCCTATAGTTTATTTCTTCGGATGGCGATTTTTGGTGATATGTATAACAGCTATCTGGCAGTGGTACGTGGTTCCCGGGAAGCAAAAAAGGTTGTCGGTTTGAAATACCACTAGTACATCTAGAGCTTTCCTTTCTACCTTTCTTATTCTCTTTTCTGCCCTATGCACTCTTCACCCATTATTCATTCTACCAGGATGTGAGATGGCGTGAGCGAGGATGTGCAGAATAATAATTCTGAGGTTAACACAGGTGTGAACAAAGCGGTCTGTGCCCTGCCGCATATGTGTTTTCATACTCATACCTTATCAGGCTAACAACAAACTGCTACCTGCGCTACTTAGCAGTAGTTTCACCATCTATGAGTTGCCATTCATTGCTGCATAATTGCAGTGATTGTGGGACCCCTCCTGTGATGTAAATTGGAAAACTTGAACATTAATATTCCTCATTACATACGTACTCTAATCTAATGGTCAAGAGAAAACCCACAAGACCTATGTTAACCACCTTGTTATGATGAGTTGACATTGGCTCCTGCCTCCAACAGTCTCTTGAACGTCCTTGTTATCTCAGTAGGCCCATTATGAGCAGCTATCTCCAGGGAGGAACATTGCCCATACTGTGTGAGAGTATGAGAGACAAGTAAGTAAAATTAATTGTTTGTTTGTCTCATTCCAGACTGCTCCACAAAGAAAGATATGTGTCACAAAAGGGACGTGCAATAATAGTGGTCCATATATACACACAGTCAAGTTTATTTGAGGCTTTCTTGGCCACTTCTAGATGTATATCCCATAAATATCAACGAGCCCCTCGTTGTGCCTTAATAAAGAGAGACGGTGCTTTATCTCCTTTGCCAGTGATTATGGGGACATGGCCAAAGGATCTTCTGACGAAGCTCCCAACTAGAGGTGGACCGCAACAGTTGATCATTTTGATGTATGCTCTCTGATTCTCGGGAGAGCCTATAGAAGTTACCTTCAAGCACGCAGAAATGAGAAACTGCAGAGGGGTAGTTATCACAAAATTAAGAACATCTCTCGTGGACCTTTTGTAAGCGGTTGGGCTATTTATTATACTTTGTTTCTCTGCAATATCTTGTATTGCCGAGCAGGTCAGCTGAAATAGCCGTATAGAACATTCTGCTAAGAAATCTTATATTGCCGGCGATGAAACCGGCTAGTATTTGTATATGTGCAATAATTATTATAGCTAAACCACATAAGACGGTCTTAGGCCCACATGCACAATTTTCTGGGAGATTAGAAATCGTGTGCTTTCAAAATGTCGTTTTTGACAGCATCTGTGGCTGTTTGTACTAAGCAGAGGAATATATGCTGGGATAAGTGATTTGCTAAGCCTAACTACCAGGTGCAAATAAGATAGACAAGTGACCCGGATACTGTTGCGGGAGAAAGACCGTACAATAAAGATAGAGTTTGTCCATTGCTCCGCAAACGAGCACTATAGCACCCCACGGTGATTGCAGGTAGTCCCGACTGATTTACTTAACTAGTGGGACATCGGCTAACAATGGGTTACGTGTTTAACAAAGCATGTCTTGACGTTATTGGAGGTCACAGTGTAATCAGACAATCTGTGGTTGTTTCCAAGATTTGGCCGGCATGATAACTATTATCCAGGGCGTTATAATGAACACTAGATAGATAAAAACAGTTCCTATAGCCTTGCAATCCCTCATGTGGACTCAACTGTCGAGCAGTTAGCCACTAAAAGGTAGGCGATTGTTTAGAGAGCGCTTGAGCTTAGGTGAGATGCACCATTGAAGGGTTACTACACCCGGGAATCGTGGAAGACCGAATGAAATTAAGTATAATGCAGAAGAAGAATAACAGCCCAACCCAGCAATCCCACCTGCCAAAACTCTTTTTGTGCCTTTCATGAATTAGTGAGATCCAGAAGTGTGATACAAGGCTGTTGCCAGGAGGTTGTAATGATTTAATTGCGTTGGGATAAATGTACTAGTAGTGATAATCGTTGCATATCGGTCGCCACTATGTAAATGGCAAGATTTTTGACAAATTACTTGCAGCGATTATGATTGAGCAGTTGCCTGATTGCGACGTCCGCAGTAATTTGATTGTGCTTATGATAAAAAAACGAATCTATTTACAAGTGTCTCGGGCCTTTAATTGAAAATGTCCCCTTGCTGTGTTTACAATGCCGTACGACCCCCAGAAGGCACCTTGGCTTTCTTAATCGTATTCTATGGCTCACGAGTATTCTGAAGAAAGTATGTACACCTGACTTTTAAGCTCACCGACCCGAGGCAGGTACAACCGATCAGCATGTAGAACCGTGACTGACAGCAATCGTATTTGCGACCCTCCATTGGTTACGCAAATACTCGCAACAGAATAATTATGAGAACCTGTTCTCATGAACTAAAAAAAGACACTTGTGAGCTGGCGCTACAGAACAAAAAATGGTGCGACAGGCTACTCCGCCAAGCCCAAAAGCATCCCTGAAAAGCATCTCTGTTGTAGCGGACACACACACTCAGATCCGTAAAAGAAGGGAGGATTTTGATCGATCATGCATCGTGATCACAATTTAATGCTGCTGCACAGTTTACCGACAAACGGCACCCTAGCCATAGAACTCAGTATCAGAAGCACCAAAAAAAAATTCGTAGGCTACCTGAACAAAGTCAATTGGATGATCAATAAAGTAAAAGGAGCGGTACATGTCACTTAGTATCTGCCACTCAGAGGTGGATGTCAGCTCATGCCTTGACAGTAGGTCCACTACACCAGAGTGGCTTCCTGGCTGGCTGCAAACACTGCAGTGCCACCATCCTGGTTTGGATAAAAGAATATTTCCGTTTAATATCAGACTTTCTGTGGCACAGCATTTTGTAGCTATGCTGACTCTCTTTATTATCCTGTGTAAAAAATGATCTTGTGGGGTGCTAGTGCCAGGATCGTGTAGGGATGGTTGTATGAAGTACGTGTGTGTCCAACCCGTATTGCTTAGGTGTCCGTTACATGCTCTTAACAATAACTAGAAAGTCAGAAATACATGAAATAGTTTTTGGCGAGCCAGCATGAGCGAATCGTTGTATGGGTCTGAGGGGTGCCCTATTGCTTAGGTGCCAGTTAACATGCCTTACGTCCCCCAAAATAATAGAAGGAATGAAATAGCGCTATTTTGGCGAGCGAATCGAGCAGTTTGTGTGTATTCAGAACTCAGTAAACTGTTACGGAGTATTGCACCGTTACATAGCGATAGAATTATAGAAAGAATCCTGCATTTAGAAGCATAGTAGCGTGGCGTTCGCTTTTCAGCGCTAAAGCATTTGCCTTTTTTGATCTTAACCACGTTGAAATGAGGAGGTGAACTCCACAATCTCAAGCAGCTGTGCATAAATGGTTACATACTGATTCCTTGTATTTGGAGCTACCCCAAACGTCATTCTATGGGAGTGGTAGCATCAAAGCAGAGAGCCAAATTGGCCGCTGAGTGAGACACGAGTCGACATAGTGTGAGCGCGGCAAGAGAGTCCGTGGACAAAAACCCACGACGTCGGGATGGTTGGTCGAATAAACTCGAAAAAGAAGCAGATCAAGGGGAGTCGATAGATCGAGAAGTTGGGCTTTGTCAATCAGGGTGGAATACCCCAGGGTATGATTCAAACCAGCGACACCGAGATGGTGAACCCTCTAGGTGAGAAGGGTTTAGAAGATAAGTTACTAGGGAGCAGAGACTAGAAGGAGGGTAGGGGTTCTAAAATCCCTTTTGGCGTCGTTGACTTAAGCTCGTCGTGTAACACACAAAAGATTGAGGGTTTTAGTTGAGAAAGTGGGCAGCTACGTTAAGTTCGTAGGCAGGAGATACAGTCTTTTTTCAGACGGGAGGAACATGATGCTATTGAACGATGGAGTATTGGCAAACCCCCTCTAGTGTACAAAAGTAGAGCTTATGATTGTCAGAGAGATACAAGACATCTAGAGTCTAGACATGTGCTCCTGACGTCAGCGAACTTTTTCGGACGTGAGGCTCCTGCCTCAACAGACCAGGTAATCTCTGACCCTAGTAGGATCTCGTGAATCAGCACTGTAGTAGGCCCATTTGATGGCGAGCTATCAATAGGAGGGAAAAAACTGCTACTCTGAAATGGGCATAGATATGAGGGACAAGACGAGAAAAGAGACAGAACCATCTATCCCAGATCAGCA